TGTACAAGATGATTATGAATCATTTGATGTCCTTGTGGTATCAAGCAGCAACTCTTGCAAAGAGTGGATTATGGATTCAAGATGTACTTGGCATATGACTCCAAACAAGAATGTGTTTGAAGAATTATGTGATCAAGATGGTGGACCAGTGCTGTTGGGAAACAATAAAGCTTGCAAGGTTGCAGGTATTGGATCTGTGAGATTCAAGCTCCATGATGAGTCAATAAGCCTATTGACTGGGGTTAGGTATGTACTTGACCTTAAGAGGAATTTGATTTCTCTTGGTGAATTCGACAAGAAAGGATATTCCTTCAAAGGAGAGCGAGGTATCCTGAAAGTCATGAAGGGGTCGAAGGAAGTCTTGAGAGGCGTGAAAAAATAAGGCATGTATACCCTTGAGGTTGAGGTTGTAAGTGGGTAAGCATATTTTGCATCCACGAAACTGGTGTCGAAGATAGAACTATGGCACATGAGATTGGGCCATGTCAACGAAATAGGTCTGGTCGAATTGGGGAAACAGAACCTGCTAGGTGGTGACAAAGTCGAGAAGTTTGAGTTTTGTGAACCTTGTGTATTTGAAAAATTCTATAAGGTGAAGTTTAACAAAGGTAAATAAAGAACATATGAATCCCTTGATTACATTCATGCTGATCTATGGGGACCTGCAAAGAATCCTTCACATTCAGGTGTAAGGTATTTTCTATCCATAGTTGATGGCTATTCCAGAAAATTATGGGTATTCGTTCAGAAGACTAAGGATGCAACTTTTGAGAATTTCAAAAGTTGGAAGGTTCAGGTCGAAACTCAAACTGGTAGAAAGGTTAAGAGGCTGAGAACCGACAATGGCCTTGAGTTCTACAATGAAGCTTTCGACAGTTACTGTATCAAGTCTGGGATTGCAAGGCATAATACTGTAGCAGGTACTCCTCGATAAAATGGATTAGCTGAGAGATTCAGTCGAACAATCCTTGAAAGGGTTAGACGCCTGTTGGTTAGTGTTGGATTGAAGAAGGTGTTTTGGGCGGAGGCTGTTTCGACAACAGCTTATTTGATAAATAAATGTCCTTAAACTGCCTTGGGAATGAAGACACCTGAAGAAATTTGGTCGGGTCAACCACCCGATCTCGACAAACTGAGAGTATTTGGCTGTTTAGCCTATGCTCACATTAGGCAAGATAAGGTCGAACCTAGAGATCTGAGATGCATGTTTCTTGGATATCCTGAGGGATTCAAAGGTTATAGGCTGTAGTGCTTAGAACCAGGACACATAAGATGTACCACAAGTCGTGATGTAGTTTTGAATGAAGTTGAAATGGCGTTTAAGAAAATCGGTGATGCTGGTCGAAGTGCAGAAATCTCTGAAGAGGAGCTGGAACAGGTAGAGATTCCTGTTGAGGAGGAGCCTAGTGATGCTAAAGTGAATAACCCAGATGAAGTCGAAGAAGAAGAGCAAGATGCTGAAGAGACTGAGGAAACTATCGATGACTACCTACTGGCAAGAGATAGGTCGATAAGAGTCATCAAGCCACCTCAGAGACTTGGTTATACAGATCTTATAGCTTTTGTCTTAATCTCTGCAAGTGAGGTACTTGAGGAAGAACTTAGAGACTACAAGGAAGCTATGAGGAGTCAAAATAAGAATGAATGATGAAAAGCCATGGATGACGAGATGAAATCTCTTCATGATAATAACACTTGGGAGCTGATTGAGAAACCTGCAGGGGCCAGGTTAGTCAGTTATAAATGGATTTTCAAGGTTAAGGAAGGAATCGAGAGAGTGATGTCGAAGCACTTTAAGGCAAGGTTGGTTGCTAGGGGATTCAGTCAGAAAGAATGTGACTTCAATGATGTGTTATCACCTACTATAAAGCATAAATCCATTAGAATATTGTTAGCCATGGTGGCGAAGTTTTACCTGGGACTTGAACAAATGGTTGTGAAGACAACCTTCCTGTATGGTGATCTAGATGAAACGATCCTGATGCAGAAACCTGAAGGGTATGCAAAAAAGGATAAGAAAGATTATGTTTGCAAGCTGAATAAGTCTTTGTATGGCCTAAAACAATCTCCTCATGGCACACATTGGTTTTACTAGGAGCCAGTTCGATCACTGTGTTTACTTCAGGTTTCGACCTGGAAACTCACTTGCTATTTTGTTGCTTTATGTGGATGATATCCTCATAGCTAGCAACAGTGTCGAGGATGTAATAGAGGTGAATGTTGAACTCAGTAAGGAGTTTGAAATAAAGGATCTGGGAGTTGCCACCAGGATTCTTGGGATTGACATCCGGAGAGATAAAAAGAAGTCGAAGTTATGCTTATCTCAAGAGACATACCTACGAAAGGTTCTCGACAAGTTTGGTATGTCGAATTCAAAGGCTGTTGTGACTCCGACAATCCTCAATTTAAGCTTAGTACTAATCAAAGTCCGAGTACTGAAGTTGAAAGAATCTATATGAATAACATTCCATATGCTAGTATAGTGGATTCTTTGATGTATGCTATGGTTTATACAAGGCCAGACATAACGTATAGAGTGAGCCTTGTAAGAAGGTAATGGCCAATCCTGGAAAGGCGTATTGACAAGCTTTAAAGTGGATTTTCAGGTACATAAATGAGCCTCTAAGTCAAGTCCTGATTTATGGTGGAGCTTGTGGTGATGATAGCAAAGTCGAAATTGAAGGATTTGTCGACTCTGATTATGCAGGTTGTATGGATTCCAGAAAATCTATTTCTGGATATGCGTTCACTATGTTCGGAACGACGATCAGTTGGAAAGCGACACTTCTGAAGGTTGTTGCCTTATCAACCACTGAAGCAGAATATATTTTCGTCACTGAAGTTGTGAAAGAGGCATTGTGGCTTGAAGGTTTTGCAAAGGAGTTGAAACTTCAATGTCGAGTTATCACTGTTAAATGTGATAGTCAAAGTGCAATATACTCGTCGAAGAATTCAACCTATCATGAGCGAACTAAGCACATCGATGTAAGGCTGCACTTTGTCAGAGAGATAATTGAGCGTGGAAAAGTCCAAGTGCTGAAGGTTTCGATTAGGAATGTAAATGGATATCCATGGGGACAGATACCATGATATCTGTATCTTCCCCATTAGATAAATATATATGATATCCATATCCGCCCCATATCCATGCGGATATCTGTTAAACGGGTAATCCGTGAGTTTTACAATATCCGTGGATATTTATAGATATCCATGAATAATATTCTTTTTATGAAAGTTATTTTTTTGAAAAAAATATTTTCAACTTCTTTTAAAGACACAAAATGTTACTATCACATAACATCGATACAATTCGCTCTTAATTTAATAATAAAATTTCATCGCATCAATTTTTTTCTTATTCACCAAAACATAAATAGATCCAGACATAATACCCATACATTTCATTTTTAACCAAACAAATAAAAGATATTGTGATTGTGAGTAATGATGGAAGAGCAGTGATAGAGGAGTAGGAAGGGAGACACTGGTTTGACAGAGGAACAACGACACTAGTTGGTTGGACTATAAAATTATTGAAGTGAGATATGAAGTAATGAAGAGTTTAAATATGAAATGGCTAATCGAATTTGAATGAAATGTGAAAGATTTTCTTCAAAGAAAATTTCAAAAAAAAGAAAGAAATATAAGAAGACTAAATTTTTTAAAAGATGAAAAGATTAGGTATAATAAGTTAATAACATTTAAATGATTTTTATAATTTATTAACGGATATGGATATCTACGGACACAGATATCATTAAACCCGTATCCATATCCATTAACAAACAGGTATTTAAATATCCATTTATTTTATCTGTAGATATCCATTAAACTATCTGTCTCATATCCGTGACGGATTTTACCCACGGATATCCGCAAGTACAAATTTATTTACCATCCCTAGTTTCGACGGATGACAATGCTGCTGATATAATCACCAAGACATTGCTCAGCTGCAAGTTTTTCCATTGTATGCAATTGATAAAGCTGCATGATGAAAGCTAGACTATTCCCTGTTATTGTAGAGTTTGTTCCAAGGTGGAGATTTGTAAGATTATTGGATCGAACTCTAGTTCTGTTGACTGGGATGTTGTCGACATGGTTAACTTTTAGGTTTCGACAGGGGACAAGCATGAAGGAGAAGATGGTTCACATGCTGATGTCTATGTGTTACATATTGTAGTCGAAGTCAGTTCTAATATGTATTATTGAAATGCTATGTCGAATTGGACCTTGTGTTAAGGATCCAATTGTTTAGTTAGCTTGTAATGTAAGTTAACTAGTTAGTCTATAAATAGGGTAGATCTCTAAGATTGTTGAAAGATGCCAATTGTGTTATTCGTTTTGTAAATCCTAAATGAGAAAGTGAATAGAAAACAGTTGCCCAAAATCCTATTCTCCTTCTTTCTTCTCTCTCTTTATTCTAACCGTTTCATTGTTCACCCAAGAAACTCCGTTTCTCAATCAAGAATTTGTTAATTGGTATCGTTTATCACAACATCGTCATTAAAGATAAATTGGTTTCTAATCCACCATATACACCAACAAACCACTACCCATATGCTACAAGCCATCTTATTAGAACATCTTCCTCTTAAACTTTCTATCCACACAACAGTAAGTGGTTTGGAAGAAGTGATTCATTACTCCTCCCAATCTTCAACCATTCACATGTTTTTCTCCAAACAAACATAATCTTAAGACATGAGAAAAAAATGGCTAACCTCCTCAATTGTCTTAAAGATAATTTGTAAAATGAATAATACTCTTAAACACATCATAAAAAAAAAAATAGTATACAAAAAAAACTAAATGACATTGAAATAAAAAAAACATATATATTTCCATAACATTCAAATGTTATTCCAAACTTACATATACAAAACAAGAAAATCTAATAATATATATCTTAAACTAATTAATCTCATATAGTTTAAGGAACAAAGTTTCATCAAAACCATCAAAGAAAAACTGTATTATATCTATGCATGTTATTGTTATTGGTACTTATCTACTCCAATGAAATATTCATCTAACTCTTTATTTGGAATCCAACCATCATCACATATTTGAGCACCCTCCAACCATTCAAGAAGATGATGATCTTCCTCATCTTTCACCATCATCTGCACACTTGCCATCACAGTTACCTCATCTTCAATTTTCACCAAAGGTGCTGTTGAAGAATTTGTAGCTAAGAGATTGTTCTTCCTAGTGCTTCCAGCTAGTGAATTTCTTCGAGTTGGTTGAGGATGATTGTGTTCGGCAGTGTACGTAACTAAGTAAACTCTTGGATCTAAATGATTCTTCTCAACCTGTTTCTTTGCAGAACATCCTTTGGAACTGCTGCATCTGTAGTAGCTTCGTGGATATGGCGAACCCTTTATCGGTTTTTGGCCATATTTTCTCCATGCCCATGCATCACAAAGAGTACCATCCATTGCTGTTACTTTCTTCACAGTACTCTTGTTCTTGTTTTTCTTGCTGAAAAAATCAATCAACATGCATATGTTATTCACTTTGCAACCAGAAAATTCTATGTATTATTTTCCAAGCAGAAATACTAAAAACACAACACCCACACTGATAATAGTTTAAAATTAAATAAATAAATGAAACATAATCATAAATGTCAGGATCGATTTCGAACACACATACTCACTAACACACCTTTTTCCAAAGTGTCTATGCTACATAGATTTTTTATTTTTTGTTACGAATCACAAGATCTAAGAGATAAAGATATAGAAAAAATAGGTTTGATAACTTGATAAGTGCTACTAATAAACCCTAATTAACTTTTATATTTCTATTACAAAGAAAAGACAGAGAAAAAACTTTTCAAAAAAAAAATCATAAATATAATTTAATAAATCAATGAAATAAAACTTTAACTTTGATTGAATTATATATATATGTATACCTTTTTTTACATTTAGAAACTGCAGAAACTTGCGGATCTTGAGAAGCTACTTTCTCATCTGATACTTTAAATTCTTTGACTTCTTCATGCTGTTTAGGGACAATCATAGAGTTTGTAACAACTGTTTGAGATGAAAGAGGGTAGAAAGGTTTACAAAGTTCTTGAAATTCATCAATAAGAACATTAGTAGTTTCTGAAAATTCAGGAAAATTGGCAAATAACAACTCATCATGTTGCAACTCAGAAAATAATTGAGAAAAATAAGTGTTGGTGTTGGTTGTTGGAGTTTCATTGATAGCTTCCAAATCCCAATCCATTAAGAATGCAAGCTCATCCATTATTACAACCAATGAGAAGTAAGATATTTTTATGAAGAGGGTTTTGATGAAAAATGTCAACTAATGTTTAGATATATATAATAATAATAATAACAATAAATTGTATATGGATTGCGTGGTGAATAAAATATATATAAATTTAGTTCAAGTTGTTCAAAGTTCAAAGTGACAAGCTAAGCAATAGTATTGTGTTGACTATAGATGTAAAGTCAAAGGGTGGTGCAAGTGGGAGTGGGAAATTTGTAAAAGTTTGAGCAGGAATTCGGTGGTGACTTTATTGGTTACATATATATTGTCTCTTTTGTTAGGGATTGTAGGCTACTATAACAATAAGACAGTGAATATGAAGACCATTGAATGAGTCTTGAGGTTAGGCAAATACTGTGACTGGTTGGAGGGTTTCATACGTAAGGTGTGCGACAATAATAGAGTAAGATTGTAAGCTTAGATAGAAATTAATCAAATTGTGTGTATTATGAAAAGATAAATGTTTAATATCTAGGATATGGCTCAATAAAAAGAGTTAAGTACATTACCCTCCATATTTATTACTGATTAATTGAATTTAATCACCTAAAATATTGAAAGTATATGAGGAATGTGTTAAGAAAATTTCTATTTTTATTTTCAAATAGTATGAGAGGTGCAACTTCATAAAAGGAATGTGTTAATTAGTAATTATGAATTGGTTTGTCTTTTATGTTTGAGGAAGACATTGAACATCTCTTTTCTGATTGTGAAATTAGTCATAATGTATAGTGGTTAGTTTCTTCTTGGTTGAGGTGTGACGATTCTATTGATAGTGTAAATTTGGTGGAGTATTTTAACTTCTTTGTGAATGATTGGGGGTTGAGCGGATTTGATAGGTAAGCAGATTAGTGTGGTTTTGGACGTGTTGGTATATTTGGTCTTTTAGAAATAGAATCCTTTTTGTTGGAGTGATTATGAATGTCAACGAATTGTTCTATTTGATTAAGTTTAGAATTTGGGAGGTAGGTTGGTGTAGGTTCCCGAGTATTTATTTATGATTTGTGTTTGTATTTGTTTTTGTTTGGTTGTAATTGGGTTGAGGTACTTTTAGTACCTCTCTTAATTCAATTTAGAAGAGATGCAACTTAATCAAGTCATTCTTAAAAGTAGATTCTTTTTGTGCCATTAATGATGCAAAATCACTATATTTTTATATTTCTCTGCCTCATCAAGAAACGTGAAAGATGTAGAAGAAAATAATATTTTTTTATTACTTTTTTTTATTAGAAGTAATATCTTAGTAGATCAGTGATGAACTCGCGCTCTTTTTGTGAACGACTTTAAAACATTATCATTTGCCTTAACCAATAGTGACTCGAGAGTCTATGAGTTGTTTCCGGACTTGGAAAGAAGTTTTGTTGCTTCTTTTGTATATCTTTGTTTTGTTGATGGTGGTTTGAGTTCTAGCCTGAACCTTATTAAGGGTGAGGTTTTTGTTGTCTGGGTTTTCTGTTTTCAGCTAGACTCATCTTGTGCTAATTGAAACCATGCATATTGTATTTTATTAGGTGTTTGTGTGTGTGTGTGTGTGTATATATATATATATATATTTTGTTTAATCATCTTGTTATTTGTATAAACCACATTCATCGCGAAACAAATTTTTTTTTGATACCCTTACTTCAAGGGGTCATGACACATACTTTTTCATCTCCTTTTTAGATATTATTCATCCTAGTGTTAATTAAATTATTAAAAAAGACTTAAGAAAAGATTATTCCTTGATCTAGAAAGGACCTTTTTGTTAGACGCAGGAAGTGAACTATGATCTAAAAGCAAACTCTGTTGAAGATATTAGTGTTCTTACGCTCTGGTTTGGGGACATAGGGTACCTGAAAAACACTACAACGCTCAAGTGAATGACGGACTTAAGTGAAAGATTTTAGGGTTAGAATGTTGTATGTATTTGAATATGAGACATTTGTTATTGAAATTTTGTTCTTAGACCAGATGCCTAAGACAAGGTGGTCAACATCTTAAACCAGAATTGACAAATAATATGAAACAAGATGATAAATTATAAAACAAATAAAGAACACAAGAGAATTGTTAACCTAGTCCTTGGCAAATTTTGACAAAACAACTTCTTCAAAACTTTCAAGACGTGCATGGGTAAATCTTACAAACTGAGCGACATAAGAACACAACAAACATAACAAAAAGAGCAAACAATAACAAAAAAAGTAGCACATAAGAAAAAAAAGCATAATGCTCCCATAGATAGGCACACAATTAATCATGCATGCACATAATCAAAGTCAGTAGTCAGTAAGGTTAGACAGGTTACTCAGAACTAGCACTACACATCAGACATCAGAGTTCGCACACATACAAAGATCAACTCACAAACATGCATGCTCTTAGTTAAAGGCCAGATGCTCCAACATGTGAGCACACAAGCTCATCAAATGATAGCATAAACAAAAATAAATTAGAACATCCATTGCTACACAGAAGTAGCTACACATCATTTTACTCATTTTGTTTTACCATAATTTGGAAAAGGTTATAGAAAAATGAAAACCAAAGAACTAATACCAAACAAGATAGAACTTAAAACCAAATCCAGAGAATATCATAGAAGATCTAGGATTGTTAAGGAGTTATTATAGATCCAGTAGCAAAACAAGGAACATACAAAACCAAACACACTAAAACAAAAACACCTAGAAACATCAATCTTCAAATTTATTCTCTAGACCAAACACATGATTCAATGAAAGTAACTCAGTCTTCATCAGCATCTGAATGAGAATTATGTGTTTGAACATGTCTTTTCTTCAATGAATTCATCCCTGTCACAAATTTTTCCTAGTCACGGATGTTCCAAGAGATGGCCCAACATGTGTTCCTACCTTGGTTTTATCAGCCTTCTTTGACTATGGACCCTTAGCCTTCTTCCCAGACTTGTCTTCCAGCATATTAACCTCTTTATCTTTAGCTTTTCAAGATGATTGACTCATTTTAAAAATAATGGAAAGACTTGAGAGAAGGGAAAGAGAACTTTTTAAGTACAATATAGAAAGAAAAGAAGAATATTCTTGCTTCTAACGATGGACATGTTATAAACAACTTGAAATCAGCCTTATTTCACGTGCAACATTGGTCTTAAGAGAGAGAGAGAGAGAGAGAGAGAGAGAGAGAGAGAGAGAGAGAGAGAGAGAGAGAGAGAGAGAGAGAGAGAGAGAGAGAGAGAGAGAGAGAGAGAGAGAGAGAGAGAGGGAGCGAGAGAGAGATAAAGTCTTTCTATTCATGCACGCATCCCATGTATTGATTGCTACAAATTATCACATATGCAAATACCAAGATCACTCCTTAGTTTTTCAAATTGAGTTACATCCAAGGCCTTAGGGAATATGTCATCTAACTATTTTTCAGTTGCTTTATACTAAAGATTTACAATTTTCTCTTCCACAAGTTCTCTGATGAAAAGATGATGAATGTCAATGTTCTTGATTCTATTATGTTGAACATGATTCTTTTAAATATTAATAAGACTCAAGTTATCACAAAATAATATCTTAACATTTTGCTCAACATTGTACTCCTTCAACATTTGTTTCATCCAGAGAAATTGAGTGCAGCTGCTCCCTGCATCAATAAACTTCGCTTCAGCAGTAGACAATGAGACAAAATTTTGCTTCTTGCTGAACCAAGAGATTTAATTATTTCCAAGAAAGAAACATCCACCAGAAGTACTCTTTCTATCATCAGCGCTCCTATCCCAATCAACATCATAATACTTTACTAATATTTAATTGGTACCATGAGAATAGAGAATACCATAGTCACAAGTCTCATTAATATACTTTATAATTCTCTTTACTTGAGTAAGATGACTAGCCTTGGGTTTAGCTTGATATCTTGCACAAACACCTATAGAGAAAGTAAGTGAGTTCTCCTACAAGACTCATCTCAAATTCAGATTTCATTGGTTGGACAAAATGTTCCACCATCTGCTCTGATATCCCACCAAAGACTATGTCATCAACATAAATTTATGCTTTCGTCAACTTTCCTCCATCATTCTTCACAAATAGAGTTTTATCTATTCCACCTTTTTTGTATCCAATGTTGACCAGGAACTCAATTAATCTTTCATACCAAGCTCTGGATGCTTTCTTTAAACCATAAAGATCTTTCTTTAAATTGTACACATGATCTAGAAAACTAGGATCAATAAATCCCTTTGGTTTCTCAACATAAAATTCCTCATTAAGAGAGCAACTCAAGAAGGAGATTTTAACATCCATTTGAAATAATTTGAATTTAAACATGCAATAAATTCAAAGTAGTAATCTAATGGACTCAAGTATAGCAATTAGAGAAAATGTCTCATAAAAAATCACTCTTACTATTTGAGTATGCCCTTGAGCAACTAACCTTGCCATGTTCCTTGTCACATTACCACTTTCATCAAATTTGTTCTTGTAAATTCATTTGGTACCAATGACATTCACATCTTCAAGTCTTGGAACTAGTTCCCATGCATTATTTCTTTCGATTCGAAACGGTTCCTCTTGCTTGGCATTTATCCAAAATTCGTGAGTTAGTGCTTCCTTGATATTCTTGGGCTCAATCTTGGAAATGAAGCAAGAGTTGAAAATCATATCTCTAGATCTTGTGATGAATCCTTCATTCAGATTTCCTATGACATTTTCAATTGGATGATTCTTCTGAATTATGATTGATGCTCCCTTGTTGATTTGAGGATTTTCAGAGTTTGTGCTTTCAGACTTAATGTCAGACCCTATGTGTGGAACATCAGTCGGTTGAGGAGATATGTCATCTTCATCTTCATATTCTTTCTTGTCTTCAGGAGTATCGTCAATGACAACATTTATAGACTTTATCATTTGCTTGGTACATTTATTATACACCTTATAAGTTCTGCTATTGGTGGAATAACCTAGGTGTATCCCTTCATCACTCTTTGTATCCATATTTCTTCTTTGCTCATAATCTTCTAA